GATGAAAGAGAACACAGATTTCTCATCAAGTCATTTAATTTCTTTATTCCCCGAGCTCTGCTTCAGTTGAGTCTCTATCTGCCAGAGAAGCCGGTTCCAGCTCTAGATTCCCTCCCGCTGCTGCTAATAGAATTCCAGGCTCTTTCCTTATTATCCGTACCGCAGGCTCACTCTCCCCTCATCCATCCATTAGGTAGGGAACCGACATCCGTCTGGGAATATCACACACCACCGTATTGTATGAGGAAATAGCTGCTTGTGTGGTCAATTACAGAGCAACAGAGAGCCCAGAGTCTTCCAGAACCGTCCTCCAAGCCCCACCAGCACAGCATAGCTGATGGCATCCACATGGGTAGCTTTGTTTGAAACACATCACCTGTTTCTTTGTGAGCTGCAAACAAAACCGATTGCTGCAAAAAAAGACACACTAGGGTGTCATAGACCCTTTAGAGCAGTGGCCTCCAGACTGAGGCCCAGGGGCCGGATGTGGACCTTTGCTAGCCTTTATCTGACCCTCGGGGTTCTATCTCTGCCACTGAATCCAGCACAGGGGCACAACTTCTGCCACTAACCTCAACAACGGGACACTATTTCTCTCACTGACAAAAATGATGGGGCATTATTCCTCCCACGGACACAATGATGGGGCACTATTCCTCCCACGGACACCATTGATGGGGCACTATTCCTCCCACGGACACCAATGATGGGGCACTTTTCCTCCCACGTACACCATTGATGGGGCACCTATTCCTCTCACGGACACCAATGATGGGGCGCTATTCCTTCCACTGACACCAATGATGGAGCACTATTCCTCCCACGGACACCATTGATGGGGCACTATTCCTTCCACTGACACCAATGATGGAGCACTATTCCTTCCACTGACACCAATGATGGGGCACTATCCCTTCCACTGACACCAATGATGGGGCACTATTCCTCCCAATGATGGAGCACTATTCCTTCCACTGACACCAATGATGGGGCACTATTCCTCCCACTGATACCAATGATGGGGCACTATTCCTTCCACTGATACCAATGATGGGGCACTATTCCTTCCACTGACACCAATGATGGGGCACTATTCCTCCCACTGACACCTATGATGGGGCACTATTCCTTCCACTCACACCAATGATGGGGCACTATTCCTCCTACTGATACCAGTGATGGGGCACTATTCCTCCCACTGACACCAATGATGGGACACTATTCCTCCCACTGACGCCAATGATGGGGAACTATTCCTCCCACTGACACCAATGATGGGGCACTATTCCTCCCACTGATACCAATGATTGTACACTATTCCTCCCACTGATACCAATGATGGGGCACTATTCCTCCCACTGACACCAATGATGGGACACTATTCCTCACTGTATTAGAGGCACTGAGGTCCATATTGGGGGCTCCTTCCTCAATGAACTCCTTCCCCGGCCATAACACCTGTGACAAGGTCCATCCACAAAGCTCAGCGCAGGTCGCGCATGCGCAGTATGAATTTGGTTGTGAAGCCACAAGGCTTCAGTGCCAGCTTCCTATACTGAAGATGCCGGCACCTGAACCCGAAGCAGACTGAACAATCGGATTGGGTGAGGACATCGCTGGATTCATGGACAGGTAAGTGTCCTTCTACTAAAAGTCGGGATTTGTAGCTGCTGACCTTTAAAGTGTCACCAAACCCCTAACAGTACAATCAGTCTGTAGATGCAGCAAAGCATGCTTGTTGTACCCACTGTGGAACCTACGGGGTTAATCCTCTGCATGGTGTAAAAAGGATGTTTGATCCTGTCTTCTCTGATAATCCCCTTCTTCTACTGTCTCCAATCCATCTGCTAAGTACAGAGCTCTAGGAGTTACTCTGCACATGCTCACTTGCTTTTTTTAATGCCCAGAAAGATTTTGTATTGAAATATTATACCACAACCATGAGCTAAGTGACTACCTCGCGGTGCGGAGCAATCTCACTGTCCCAATTGTCCCGAGATTGCAAACAGAGCTAAATTTGCTGCATCATACACTCACCGGCCACTTTATTAGGGTCCATCTTGCTAGTGCCAAGAAAATCTCCCCCCACATCATGACACCACCAACCTGAACCATTGATACAAGGCAGGATGGATCCACCACACCATGACACCACCACCACCAGCCTGAACCGTAGATACAAGGCAGGATGGATCCACCACACCATGACACCACCACCACCAGCCTGAACCGTAGATACAAGGCAGGATGGATCCCCCACACCATGACACCACCACCACCAGCCTGAACCATTGATACAAGGGCAGGATGGATCCCCCACACCATGACATCACCACCACCAGCCTGAACCATTGATACAAGGCAGGATGGATCCCCCACACCATGACACCACCCACCACCAGCCTGAACCGTGGAAACAAGGCAGGATGGATCCCCCACACCATGACATCACCACCACCAGCCTGAGCCGTGGAAACAAGGCAGGAGGGATTCACCACACCATGACACCACCACCACCAGCCTGAACCATTGATACAAGGCAGGATGGAGATTTTTTTATTTATGTATTAATGTCATACATATCCATCCTCAACTTATATATAAAAGTACAAAATAGAATAAATAGAATAAATAAATACAAAACTAAACAAAGAAACTGAAAAAGTCCCAACAACCCCTGTGGGAGAAATAATAAACAAAGAACATAAAAGTCCATAACCTGAAAGGAAAAAACGGAACTTATATACAATATGTACAGTACAAGGCCTCTATGGCCAAGACCATATAATTAGGAGCCTTTATGGCTCAGACATAAACGTAAACCATAAACAATTTCCATATTAAACCTGCCGCTTACGGCCTATATGGCCCAAACTATACACAAAAAACACCTAACCATTATATACACTATGGGGGAGGGCTAAGGAACCCGCAGATCTTCCACGTCTGACACCTACAACCTACCATGCAAAAGGCTACCAAAAAGACCGAAACGCAAAAGCTAGGGAGTGCAAGAGGCAGAAAACAGGGACAGTTCCCATCACCCCGAGATCAACAGACCGCAGCAACAGGCTTGATGTTCCTCCACGCCTCCATCCAAGCCCTACGCCGCAGCCTGTCTTTCTCCAGACCCCGAATTTTCCCAACCTCACCAAGAATGTCACTCACCACCACCTGAACAGGGAGGACCTTCTGCCGAATGGAGACCTGACACCGTGCCATCCAAATGTAGTAACGGACAACTAAGCTGACTAAAAACAAGGTGTCCAAATCAAAACCCATGCGACACTCGAATGCTCCGTACACCCACTCCGCATACGACATGCGATGGAGGAAAGGAACACCCAGAGACCCTCCCACCTGTTTATACACCTCTACGTTAAAGGGGCACTGAAGCAAGAAGTGGTCCATAGTCTCCACTTCACCCCCACACTCCGACCTCGGACAACCACGGTCATCCGGAGGACGGTACTTCAGGTTACCCCTCACGTAGAGCCTGCCGTGGAAGGCGAGCCAGGCCTGGTCCCGCAACTTCAGGGGGATCCGCTCCAGATTTATCAACCGCAAACCCTCCCTCAAAACATGGCCCGGGCAATCTCTCAAGGCCAGCGGTGCATGGAAAGCAGATGCCACAATCCTCTCACCCAGGAGCCTCCTAGGGAGGGACCGGACCAAGGCAGGATGGATCCCCCACACCATGACACCATCATCACCAGCCTGAACCGTGGATACAAGGCAGGATGGATCCGTGCGTTCATGTTGTCTACACCAAATTCTGACCCTACCATCTGAATGTTGCAGCTGAAATCCGGACTCATCAGACCAGTCAACGATTTTCTCATCTTCTATTGTCCAATTTTGGTGATCCTGTGCGAATTGTAGCCTCCGTTTTTAGATGACAGGAGTGGCACCCGTGTGGTCTTCTGCTGCTGTAGCCCATCTGCTTCAAGGTTGAAAATGTTGTGCGTTCAGAGATGGTATTCTGCATACCTTGGGTGTAACAAGTGGTTATTGGAGTTATTGTTGCCTTTCTATCATCCGGAACCAGTCTGCCCATTCTTCTCTGACCTCTGACACCAACAAGGCATTTTCCTCCACACAACTGCCGCTCCCTGGATATTTTCTCCTTTTCGGACCATTCTCTGTAAACCCTAGAGATGGTATTGTGTGAAAATCCCAGTAGATCAGCAGTTTTTTAAATACTCAGATCAGCCCGTCTGGCACCAACAAACCATGCCACGTTCAAAGTCACTTAAATCCCCTTTCTTCCCCATTCTGAGGCTCGGGTTGAACTTCATCAAGTCGTCTTCACCACGTTGAGATGCCTAAATGCATTGAGTTGCTGCCGTGTGATTGGCTGATTAGCAATTTGTGTTACCAAGCAATAGAAAAGGTGGAGCTAATAAAGAGAACAAGTAGATGCTCCGCCCAGAGATCATCTCCATGGAGGTGGAATGTCGGATCTTTGGTTCTGTGTGTCTTCCCAGCACGATGCACCAGAATGATGAGAATTGATATAGCCGGCACTCGTCTTCCCGAATAATAAACTTTACTGAACATAGTTACATAGTTAGTCTGGCTGAAAAAGACAAAAGTCCATCCAGTTCAACCATTAAAAAAAAAAGTTATAATCCTCCACCCACAGTGGATCCAGAGGAAGGCAAAACAACCCAGCAAAGCACGATCCAATGTGCTCCTGCAGGGGAGAGAATTCCTTCCTGATCCCCCGAGAGGCAATCGGATATTCCCTGGATCAACGTCACCTATAAATTCATCATTCAAATATCATTCATTTACCTAATAATGTGGCCGCTGAGTATATGTACTACACGTTTCAGCCGCAGTATGACGATTAGGTGGGTGGCCAGGAAGGGGAGTGGTAAAATAAAAAAACTGCCTGTTTTTAGCACCCCTTTTCCACCCGTGCATAAATATACAACAAAATGTAAAAAAAACACAATTGTGCCACACTTCACAATCCATTCCAGGAATAAACATTCAGTCCTCAAGCATGTTCTCCTATGTGTCCATCCCCGGCGTGTTCTACTGTGTGTCCGTCCCCGGCGTGTTATACTACGTGTCCGTCCTTGGCGTGTTATACTATGTGTCCGTCCCCGGCGTGTTATACTACGTGTCCGTCCCCGGCGTGTTATCCTACGTGTCCGTCCCCGGCGTGTTATCCTACGTGTCCATCCCCGGCGTGTTATCCTACGTGTCCATCCCCGGCGTGTTATCCTACGTGTCCATCCCCGGCGTGTTATCCTACATCTCCATCCCCGGCGTGTTATCCTACGTGTCCATCCCGGCGTGTTATCCCATGTGTCCATCCCCGGCGTGTGATCCCATGTGTCCATCCCCGGCGTGTTATCCTACGTGTCCATCCCCGGCATGTTCTCCTATGTGTCCATCCCCGGCATGTTCTCCTGTGTGTCCATCCCCGGCATGTTCTCCTATGTGTCCATCCCCGGCATGTTCTCCTGTGTGTCCATCCCCGGCATGTTCTCCTATGTGTCCATCCCCGGCATGTTCTCCTGTGTGTCCATCCCCGGCATGTTCTCCTATGTGTCCATCCCCGGCATGTTCTCCTGTGTGTCCATCCCCGGCATGTTCTCCTGTGTGTCCATCCCCAGCATGTTCTCCTGTGTGTCCATCCCCGGCATGTTCTCCTGTGTGTCCATCCCCGGCATGTTTCTCCTATGTGTCCATCCCCGGCATGTTCTCCTGTGTGTCCATCCCTGGCATGTTCTCCTGTGTGTCCATCCCCGGCATGTTCTCCTATGTGTCCATCCCCGGCATGTTCTCCTGTGTGTCCATCCCCGGCATGTTCTCCTATGTGTCCATCCCCGGCATGTCATCCTGTGTGTCCATCCCTGGCATGTTCTCCTGTGTGTCCATCCCCGGCATGTTCTCCTGTGTGTCCATCCCCGGCATGTTCTCCTGTGTGTCCATCCCCGGCATGTTCTCCTGTGTGTCCATCCCCGGCATGTTCTCCTGTGTGTCCATACATACATAGATTGGAATCGGCGTTTTTTGGCTGGAAAAAAAACAGAACTAGTGGGTTTCTAGATGCTCAAGTTTTTAACCCCAAAAAAGTCACAAAACATGCAAACGCAAAAACGCAGTTAAACACTAATGCAAAAATGCTAAAAAAATCATGTTTTTAACAAAAAAAATTGTTTTTTGGAAAAAAAAAAAAATGCAAACACGAAAAACGTGGCTGAACGCTAATGCAAAAATGCTAAAAAAAAATCACATTTTTAGCGTGACTTTACACAGCGAATGTTACCAGCGTGTGCGTGGAGCCTTAGTCCGGGTTCACACTGACGCGGTGCAGAATTCTCAGCGTTTTCAGTGCGAATTCCACACCACATCAGAATCGCACCCCGTTCATGTGAACCGCTGAGGGTGTGTATGTTCAGTTAAAAATACCCTAAAAGCAGTCCGCAAAACACGGTGTGATGTGCAGAATCGGATCTCGTAGGTGTGAATACCCGTGCGATCCGATTCTAGTGTGGAGCCAAAAAAGGGTCCTGCGTGTTTTTGGTGCGAATAGAGCCATACATAATGTACGACTCCGATCGCACCGCACACAAATCACATGTGATTGGCAGAGGAATGCGGTCCCTGTGCGAATTACATGCGATATACCGCACCGCACGTATGTGAACCCGGGCTGAGACAGCAACTCCAACCGGCTCATTCACACAGCTTACATTACAAATGTTGGCCGCCATTTAATGGCCGCCATTTAATCGCCACGATAACATCTCTGTATCCGCAGGTTTTATAAAAAGGGAGAAAGTGAAAGGCAATCGAAAATGAGAAACAAAGAAAAGGCTGATAGGAGCAGCACTGCAACCCTGGTGCAGGATATGGACTGCATGATATACACGGGATGGGGAATGGGCGGTAAAACGGTCTGCATTCTCCATAGCAATGCGCTTTCCACGGCCATCAATCAGATTCCGTACCGTCATGCTCAGTCCAGCTCACATTATAAATGGAAATGTCCGACTGAATACCAGGAGCCATAGCAGCTCCGCCGCCTTCCTCCCAGTTTGCATAAGTCAGCTCTTTTGTAGCCTACGCATAATAAATGTGCAGCACGACAGATTACCTGAATGGCAGATCCAGACGTCATGGCGCTCGGCGCTCAGGCCTCATCCTACCAGCTGAGCAGATAACAGCAGGATTTCCATGGCTAAAGCTGGCCACACACCGCTCTGATTTGGGCCGGTTCCAGGTGATCCAGCTGACGTTTGCTCATTGGGTGGCCTTGCCGGCGCCATCCCGCCTTACATCCCTCAACTGAAAAAAAACCGAAGGAGCTGGGTGGAAAATGGTCGGCCAAACAGAGCCTGAATCCAACTACAGTGACGGAAATAAATATTTGCTCCCATGCTGATGTTGAACGTTCTCCCCTCACAAAGAAATGATCGGTCTAAACATCGAATGTTCAGTGTATTGTAACCCTGAGAGACAGAATACAACAACAAATTCAGCAGAAATGCGTCTAACAAATGATGACGGATCTGCATGTTCATGAGGGAAAGAAGGATTTCATCCCCTATCATTCAGCAGGATTTCTGGCTACCAGGTGTCTTTCATACAGGTAACAAGCTGAGATTAGAAGCAGTCTCTTAAAGGGAGTGCTGCTAATCTCATTGTGTTACCTGTATAAAAGACACCTGTCCACAGGAGCCATCAAACCATCAGATTCCAAACTCTCCACCATGGCAAAGACCAAAGAGCTGTCCAAGGATGTCAGGGACAAGATGGTAGACCTACACAAGGCTGGACTGGGCTACCAAACTATGGCCAAGCAGCTTGGTGAGAAGGTGACAACAGTTGGTGCAATCATTCACAAATGGAAGAAACACAAAACAAGTGTCAGTCTCCCTAGGTCTGGTGCACCATGCAAGATCTCACCTCGTGGAGTGTCAATGATCATGAGAACAGTGAGGAATCATCCCAGAACTACACGTGAGGATCTTGTCAATGATCTCCAGGCAGCTGGGACCACAGTCACCAAGAAAACAATTGGTAACACACTACGCCGACAAGGACTGAAATCCTGCAGTGCCGCAAGGTCCCTCTGCTCAAGAAAGCCCATGTCCAGGCCCATCTGAAGTCTGCCACTGAACATCTGAATGATGCAGAGGAGGACTGGTGGAAGTGTTGTGGTCAGACGAGACCAAAATCCAGCTCTTTGGCATCAACTCAACTCTCCGTGTTTGGAGGAGGAGGAATGCTGCCTATGACCCCAAGAACACCATCCCAACTGTAAAACGTGGTGGTGGAAACATTCTGCTTTGGGGGTGTTTTTTTTCTGCTAAGGGGACAGGACAACTGCACCGCATCAAAGGGACGATGGATGGGGCAATGTACCATCAAATCTTGGGTGAGAACCTTCTTCCCTCAGCCAGGGCATTGAAAATGGGTGGTGGATGGGTGTTCCAGCATGACAATGACCCAAAACACACAGCCAAGGCAACAAAGGAGCGGCTCAAGAAGAAGCACATTAAGGTCCTGGAGTGGCCTAGCCAGTCTCCAGACCTTCATCCATTTGAAAATCTGTGGAGGGAGCTGAAAGTTCGAGTTGTCAAACATCAGCCACCGAACCTTAATGACTTGGAGAGGATCTGCCAAGAGAAGTGGGCCAAAATCCCTCCTGAGATGTGTGCAAACCTGGGGGCCAACTCCAGGAAACATCTGACCTCTGTGATTGCCAACAAGGGATTGGCCACCAAGTACTAAGTCATGTTTTGTGAAGGGGATCAAATCCTTCTTTCCCTCATGAACATGCAGATCCGTCATCATTTGTTAGACGCATTTCTGCTGAATTTGTTGTTGTATTCTGTCCCTCAGTGTTACACCGAACATTCCATTGTTAGACCGATCGTTTCTGTGTGAGGGGCGAACATTCCATTGTTAGACCGATCATTTCTGTGTGAGGGGCGAACATTCAACATCAGCAGGGGAGCAAATATGCATTTCCTTCACTGTAGGTGCTTGCGCTGTTGAGTATTATGACGGTTGGTTGGGTTGGCCATCAACATACAATCACTGCAGCGGGAGATTTTTACGGTCCTACTGAAAAACAAAATCTGCGAGCGCAACGTGGAAGAGTCACCCTACCAATTGTGTATATAGATGAGCTAAACTATAATCAATGATACCAAACAAACAACTCTCAGATCAGATCGAAAATACAGTGCCTTGAAAAAGTCGTCCTCCACCTTGAAATGTCCCCCATGTTGTCATGTTACAATATATCCCCCCCCCCCATGTTGTTACAATGTATTTTATCGGGATTGGATGTGATGGACCAACACAAAGTGGCACATAATTGTGAAGTGGAATGAAAATGAGAAATGGTTTCCAACATTTGTGACCATTAAATATCTGAAAAGTGTGGCGAGCATTTGTATTCAGCCCCCTTTACTCTGATCCCCCTAACTAAAATCTAGTGGAACCAATTGCCTTCAGAAGTCACTTAATTAGTAATAGAGTCCCCCTGTGTGTCATGTGATCTCAGTATAAATCCAGCTGTTCTGTGAAGCCCTCAGAAGTTTGTTAGAGAACATTAGTGAACAAACAGCATCATGAAGGCCAAGGAAACACCAGGCAGGTCAGGGATAAAGTTGTGGAGAAGTTCACAGCAGGGTTAGGCTATAAAAAAATCTCCCAATCTTTGACCATCTCACGGAGCACTGTTCAATCCATCATCCGAAATGGAAAGAGTACGGGACAACTGCCAACCTACCAAGACATGGTCATCCACCTAAACTGACCGGCCGGGCAAGGAGAGCATTCATCAGAGAAGCAGCCAAGAGGCTCATGGGAACTCTGGAGGATCTGCAGAGATCACAGCTCAGGGGGGAGAATCTGTCCTCAGGACAACTATTAGTCCTGCACTCCAAGTCTGGCCTTTATGGAAGAGTGACAAGAAGGAAGCCATTGTTGGAGGAAAGCCATAAGAAGTCCTGTTTACAGTTTGTGAGAAGCCATGTGGGGGACACAGCAAACATGTGGAAGAAGGGGCTCTGGTCAGAGGAGACCAAAATGGAACTTTCTGGTCTAAAAGCAAAACGCTATGTGTGGAGGAAAACTAACACTGCCCATCCCCCTGAACACACCATCCCCACTGTGAAACATGGTGGTGGCAGCATCATGTGGTGGGGATGCTTTTCTTCAGCAGGGACAGGGAAGCTGGTCAGAGTTGATGGGAAGATGGATGGAGCCAAATACAGGGCAATCTTAGAAGAAAACCTGTTAGAGTTTGCAGAAGACTTGAGACCGGGGCGGAGGTTCCCCTTCCAGCAGGACAACGACCCGAAACATCCAGCCAGAGCTACAATGGAATGGTTCAGATCAAAGCAT